ACTCCCTACGGGGTTGACAAAATTCGCTCACGGGGTTTTTGTGAGCTCCGTACGGAGAATTCCATTTCTATGACTTTTTGCACAAGCGCGTAGTGCTAAAGTGCTCTATGCTACTGTATTTTGTTTTTTTGAGATAATTAGGTCTCTTATATTCCAACAATTAGGCCTATTATAATTATGTAAGTATCTGAAGCAGCCAACCTTTATTATATTGCGCGCATGTGACTTCGAGTCTGGGCACGAGAACATCTGAATTAAGAGAATAGTCACTAGAAAATAAATAACACTACGGGGTATTTCAGACGGGGTTTACTTAACACATGTACACCTGCCTCACCATAGACTTGTATAATATTATGTACGTATTTATAACATGCTCATTTTGCGCGGCATTTTAGAACTATACCGCGTTCTGTGATACATACATTTACTTCAATTAAGTATACATCGATAATGATTGTTACTTTAAATACTACTTTATTTCTTTTTTTCTTGCTGAAGAGAACAGAAATATCTACCGATGTACCATTTACTTGGAGTATATATGGCAAAATCCGCGAATATGCATGCAAACTCCGCCTCGAAAGAAATAACGTATACAATACACCCGCATTATCAATTTTGGGCATACTTCCCATTCGAGGTATGCACCATAAACCCTCTACCTAGGCCTTGCCAGATTCCAGCGTGATGGGTGCATGAGTGGGCTATTGACCCTCAAATGAATCAATCCATGACGACCAGAATATGAATATGGCCTTGGCAGCGGTTAGCCTCGGCGAAGTATGTTCCTTTATCGTGTTTTTACCTTCATCTCCACTTTGACTCAATTTTCATATTTTTTTTCTTCTTTCCTTTTTTTTTTTTTCTTTCGGGCAACTCGCCCCGGATCCCTTCATGTTCCCGACCCTGTCTGATGCCCGAGATATAAAATTCATGATAGCTTTTTATGCCCTTTCTTGATCCCCTGTCCCTCCATTCTTCCTCACTCCATGCCCGCCTCTCTCCATCGCTCTTCTTTTTGAATGTCATTTCCTTTTTTTCTGGATTTCATTTCTCTTTTTTAGATATTCGGCCTCCGCATCGAGAGCCAATGTGCCTCGATTTCTTCTTCTCTTTCTGGATCCCAACCATAACGCTCAACGCAAGCAGTGCACCGCTCGACCCACTCGACAGACAACCTCACCCCAATCGGCACCACGACATTGGCCGGATAGACCGCCCCACGCCTACACAACTCGCACTACAAATACTGGTAGGGGTACGTTTGGGCATCCGCCAACTGTGGGAACTGTTGGAGGATGATGGGGAGGTTGATGCTGGGCAGGTAGGGCAGATTCTCGAGGGGTGGAAGATCATACCAGGGTGGTCGTTGTATGCGGGATCCCCCTCTGGGCATCTGACGCTGTGCCCTGTCGACCCGTCGCAGGAGGTTGATAAAGGCGTGGGGGTGCTCGCGGCGATCGACCCTAGCGAGGAGGCGTCGAGCTTCCTGAAGGGTGGGTCGGTTTGGATTGCGCCTGTGCATGTGGGGCTGAGGATGTGCGGGGCCATTGCGGTTGCCGAGGCGGTGGCCACCGACCGGAGCTGTTGTTCCGGGGGGTTGGGTCTGATTGTTATTGTTGATATCGATGTTACCTGGCGAATGCGCACCTCCGGAGGTAGCGGAGACTTCAAGTGGCGTAGGAATGCCTTCCCCGGTGGCAGGCCAGGGCAGGGGACTTGATACATCGGCATCGTTTCCAGCAGAGGCGCAACCGGGGCTCCGATTGTGCGCATGGTGGCCGGGGCTGCCCATATGATGGGCCCTGGTTCTCGCGGGAGTCACACGCGCTTGAGAAACTACCTCACCGTTAGCCGGAAACTCCCTCACCGGTGAAACGCTCTCACCTTGATCGTCGTTGCCAGTGCTCTCAGTGTAGTCTCGTGCCCAGGCGTCACTCTCGGTGGGTGCGGATGGTACAAGTCCATTGTGGGTGTTCTCGTGCCAAGAATGAATAAAATAGTCATTGTGGGGTGAGGCGACCTCGTGGGGTGAGGCGACCTCGTGCGTACCATTACTTGGGAGAGTCATTGTTGTTTGTTCTTGTCGTAAAGCCTGCAGTAGCGTTGAGGCCCTTCCGATGGCGAACTCTGACCCGCAAGGGCGGGGCCCCGGGGAAGGGGGGGCAAGGGCAGTGAAGTATCGATATTGCGTCTGAAGGGAATCCTGAAAGAAAGTGATGGATACCTACGGTGTGGACTGACTCGAGGCTAGGTGTAGATGGTGGGATGGGGATGCACCACACTGTGTTGACGGCGTTGTGGCCGTGGGCGGTGGTGGTAAGATGGATGTTATTGTCGCCGCCCCCGGCGGACGGAGCCGGAGATGCACATAAACATAAACATTGCCATTGCTCTGCTCCGGCAACGCATATATTCGCTCTTGGCAGGCACGGATGACGTCGGAGTCCTCGGAACTTGATTTGGTGTTCGCAATGTAGGCTTTTTTTTTGTGTTTGGATGCGCTGTTGTTACTGTTGATGGGGGAACGAGACTGAGTTGGTGGTGGTGTTGAAGCTGATGTTGAGATTCGGTTGGTTAAGGCATGTTAGCCTCCGTTGCTACGTAGTCTCGTACCCAGACCCCTCGTAGAGGTTGCCACGAGTGGTACTTGGAGGGGTGGGGGTAAGGGCAGTCCCGACGGTACGGGATCTGCAAAGGTCATTGCAATTCGTTGCACTTTGATCGCATCGATAAACAACATCCCTCTTTACCCCCTCCCCTCATTCTGGCCTGCCTTTCATGTTGGTACAAGCAGGAGAATCAGATAAGATCACGTGGGTCGATAGGATTGGTGGTTATCCTTCCAGGGAAATCTCGGTATTTTATTCGCTTCCCCAATGTCCTCCGCTGCTATGTATCGAAGTGAAGTGAATGTTTTAAGACACATTAGCCTCAGCCCCGGGTGCGGAATTCAAACCAAAACTTTCAATTAATTTAAATGAAAAAATAATAACATATTCGAGCCTCAATGCATATGAGGCCGGGTCGGCTATGCTAGCCACCCAGGTACCTACATGTGTAAGCCTTGAGGGGGATTGTAGTGGATAGTTGGAATAGCTGGGAGTACTTCAGTTATGTTTTTTCAATTATGGTCGGGTCGAGATCTTCTAACGTTGTAGCCTGGTTGTGCAACGCCGCCCTCTCCCTCCGCTAACGTTGTTGCTTTATTCTTGATGCCGCTTGACAAAATTTATACATCTATTCTAGCCTGGCATCTAGTAGGTAGACTAATCCATAAAAATGCCAAGACCTGCTAGAAAATACCCATTTAAGTAGTCGGCTCTACCGAAAAACCGAACCTGGATTAGCTCAGGGAAAATAGTTTTCGTTTTCAGCTTGCACAAAAATGGATAAATCGGACTTTAATACTAATATTTATATATTCAAGTCCTTAAATAAAGGATATAAAATGATTAATGAGATGTTTCACCGATGTTGATTATGCTCGATACATGTACATCCATGTTAGATGTACTGCCGTGGCCGTGCATTTTTAACACAAAATAATAGAAAACATGGTGTGAGAAAAGGCTATCATACTGCTCTGGGCGCTCATATCGTTCTCATGATGAAGAGGCAAGACTAGTATATATAAAGATCGTAGCCTGGTTGTGTAAAAATCGATAAGAGTACTTTTCGCGGGCTTCATATACACGGGAGGATCATGGCGACTTCGGATATCGATCCATGCCTGCAGCAGATAAAGACTTTCGAGATGTTCTCAGTCGACCCCCTTTTGCTCTAGAGGCCTAGCGCGGTAGTAGCTGTACATTTATATATAGTAGATAATGCAATATCAATTTACATATACAAATAAATTTAAACGTCCCCGCAATCCACATTTTGCAAGAATAAAAGAAGAAGAATTCCCCGAATCACCTCAAAAGTAAGTGATATCATCTACGTATACCAGTAGACACTTAAGAATACTCCGACGGCTATGTACCTAACCATTCACCTGCCCCGGATGCAAAAAGAAATGCGGCTTATGTGGATCGAACACAGGACCTTCAGATGTATGAATTATACCGAAGTTTTACTTCAGTCTGACGCTCTCCCAACTGAGCTAAAGCCGCTTCATTGAAGTCCTTGAAGCCATTGTCATTTATGGACTCATGCCTCATTCTTCTTCAAAATCAGGTTTATTCAGGCTAGGTATATTCGGATGCTTAATATCCCTACTTGGGTCTCGAGGAGGGTCTGGGAACGAGACTATACCTGGGGTACATCGCATGCGATTGATAGTAGGTTAGTAGATGCAGGCATGAGACTCAGCAGATACATTATCGACCTGATGAAATGATTAATGAGAAATGTTGCGTAAGATTTCATGAAAGTATCATGGCGAGACGAGAGCATGTGGTATGATGGGAGAATATACCTACTTACTTGTACCTACCTATCTCTTTTGTATGTATAGCGCATGTGTGTACTTCATAAAGTATATAATGCATGACAATTATTTGCAAGTATGATAATTATAAATCATGGAGCACTTTTGTGACATCAAAAAGTTAACAATTCTCGTCAATAGTCGCCTCTTGGATGTATAGGTCAACTTTATGGGTTACTGTCGCCATCACACTTGGTCGTCCTAGCCTTAAGCTTTGGAACCACGTTTCGTGGACACGGCAAAATAACTTACATCAAATGATCATGAGGCCGGACGGTATGTATCACTTTTTGCGAAAACTGGACGATAAAGTGTCCGGATATACTATAACTAAATATCATGCGGATTATTTGGTCATTATATAATTATATAAAATGGGCATATATTACCAGGAATATATATACATCCACAAACGATTTTCAAGTAGCCATTTAAACTTCATATGCTTCTCGTATTTGAATATATTCTAGAGGCATGAGATGCCGTACATTAGGTAACTCGCTTTTCCGAGAGCAAAAGCATATATTCCATCACGGCGCTTTGGCAATTTTCACATCAGATAGTCGAGGTGTCCGAGTGGTTAAGGAGTGTGACTTGAATTACATCTCGTGTATCTGGTTATCACATGACATTTGTCGCGTAGGTTCGAACCCTGCCCTCGACGATATTGTTTTGCTCGTTTGATGGCTTATGAGTTGCTGTAGAGTAGAATGTATCCCAAATGGTTGTGGTTTTTCCAATGTTGTTTCCCGCGAGACCATGTTCGCGCCGAGCTCGAGTTTATCTCGATGTACACATATTTGAATTACCTTAGGTGTAGGGGAGAACATACCTATCGTACGTATACCTCTTTGTAGCATCGGAGCCTCATCGTCGGGAAGTAATCTTATTACCAGACCCTCGAAGACGTCGAGAGGGTCAAGTGACGAAGGCAATATTCGGCAAATTTGTATACGTAGATCTGCATTGAAATGTAAGTAGTATGTAGCGTAACTTTGTATATATGTAATTAACTGTTGCCTTGTAAATGTTGATTGGTATTTCCAAATATGTCGCTTGCACGCTTGAGATCTGTATCTCTACGCAAATTAATAATATGAATTTGCATGCGTTTTGAGCGACTTAAAGTTTGAGTACACTTAAAGTTATAAGAATAGACTGAATCAAAACCCCCAGAAAAATCAAACACGTAATAAGTAATCAAAACAATCCTCCGGCACAGAATTAACTGGCAAATTCCGACCTGAAGCAATTAAAAATCGACCCCATAATCCAAAAACAAGATACAAAACTAAACCTCTGCACGCAGCCCAAGAAGGGAGGAAAAAGCAAAAAGTAATGCGGCTTATGTGGATCGAACACAGGACCTTCAGATGTATGAATGATACCGAAGTTGGACTTCAGTCTGACGCTCTCCCAACTGAGCTAAAGCCGCTCTCATGTCAATACGGAAGTAGTGTAAAATTCTATACCGCTTGGTACGCGAAGTACGTGAATGTTCATCGAGTCACATTCAGTTGGAGGCGGAATCTCGAGTCTCCCAGAAATGAAGCTGCAATATGGGCATCAAATAAGCAGAGATTCCGAAGCTGAATTCTCTGCTCGGTGAGGGGCTTTGAGTGTTATTAGTATCAGATTCATCGATACATTCTTCATTTTCGTAGGTATCTATGTGAGAGAGATAGCAATGTTGAAGATTATCATTTTGATGATTGGGTATATGTTATATGGGTAAGCAGTATAATTTTGTGCAATGACGATATTTATTACGTCCGTTTATTGTATTACCTCTTAATATATCCCCCCCCTATATGACCCTTATGGATAGAGATCAGGCGGTCTGGATGCTCTTACTACTTGTTAGTTGCTACTTCGTCCTCATATTTCCTGTTATTAATCCTGGGTCTTACCCAAGGCGGCATCCTCGACGTCAATTCTGGATACGTCTGGTCTTTAGTTTTATAAGGGAGCAAGCATACCTTGATTATCTGACCTACACAGGGTCACAGTTTGTTTAGATATTGATTCAAATGGCGGGCAGGTGCATAGATTGATAGTTTTGGACATTTATCATTGTATTATCTGGCAAAAACACAATTGGTAACTTCGTCATCAACGCTCTTAGGATCTCAGAGAAATTATTCACATGTATAGAAAGCTAGGTAACCACGTTTCTTTCCTGCTCAAAGCTGTTCTCCTCTACCGGTATTACAATTTTGAAAATTTATAAAACCCACTGCCTAATCTTGCCTTATGACCATAATCGGGGATGTAAAAATATCTTGTTGGAGTAGTCTAGTTTGTCGGCGTGGAGCTTTGTCTGGCGTAGGCCAGTGATCGAGTGAACCCGGTAACCGGAGCAGCGAATTGAAATCGGTACCCACTCGTATCAGGGCGAAAGTATTGAAGGTTTTACAAGGGGGGCCTCCAGTCTGTACATACGTGTATGTATTTTGCATGTATTTGCACAGACACTGCCACGCCTGGTCAACCTGCAATACTTTCCCCCCGCCACCCAGCTTTACTGGCGACGAAGCCCCACCCCCCAGTCAATCTCGAATTCTCACACCTTTTCAAAGAAAGTCTCACCTAGCCATGGCAACAAAGCCTATTTCGTGGCAATATTCAGTCGAATATGTACAAATACTTTGTCAAAATTAAAAATTATGTTTGGGGACTTGGGAAGGATGAGCATAATCCAATAAACAAGCACTCTTGAAACTTTTTTTTAGAAATCCATTCATATCTGATGATGATGTTCTGAGGAGGCACGTTTTGGCAAGAACAATTCTGTATTCTACTCTGCGTTGAGCGTTGAGTACCTACTCGAGTAGAGTGAATACTTTCAATGGTAAGACATTGAAAAGGTGTGAGAATTCGAGACGTGCTGGGGGGTGGGCTTCGTCGCCAGTAAAGCCGGTATCCACAAAGCATGCAAGGTGCAAGGATATCTCCACGCTAACCTGCTTCGAAAGGTTGGGCTCGATGTTAAATGGTTCCCGTAGCGAAATTATGAGCGCTAGCGAAAACAGGCCTTACTCGAGTTAAGCACAGATTACAGACATTTATCCATGGATGTTCGAATCGAAACATTTGTAGCCTTAAGTTTTCCCTTTTTGTATATTTCTTTTTGAATCAATCTGTACTTGAGCTGCAGTGAAGTACTCTATCGATCAAATAATGTATTTTACGCTCACCGAGTTGTTTGGTAGAAATGTGGGGCTGAGCAAGTGTCAGAGCCCAGAAACTTGTAACAAGTCCAATGATGGGGGGGGGAAACCTGATGTGCATACCAAGGTGGATTATCTCTTGTAGTTTGATCGAAACGACCAAGGCTGGGTTCGGGGAAAACTTTGATCCATTATTGCTCAAAGTATTTCCAAAAATAATGGGCAACTTTTCTTGGGCGACCGTACTGTACTCGAGTACGAACCGAATGCACTACTACTCGATCTGGAGTTGTCTCAGCCACAAACTCCTTTCTGTGCGACCAAGAATATTTTCGACTAAACTTACATTTGCTTTTCCCCTTTATTGAAAATATAGAAAGTCGCAGTTCGCCCCTTTGTCGTGAATCCATCCATCCGTCACCCTCCTATACCCGGAAGTCCATCACTCTTTTGGATCACCACTCCAGCTTTTTCGAACCACCACACTCGTTATCCAGATCGCGATCACATTCCCTTCACAATAATACCAGATTATTTCTATAAATAATTTAAAATCATGCAACTCCAACTCAGCTTCAAAGCCCTTCTTCTAGCAATCTTGCCAATTGCCGCCGCATTCCCCGCATCGGATGTCGTTTGCGTCAACCACAACGGCATCGAAGCCTGCACCACCAACCTGGACATCCTCTGCTCCTTTTCCATCTTCAACGTCCCCGGCACCCCACCGCCAGCGCAATGTATCTCCTACGATCAGAAGTTGAAGAAGCGCCACAACAACAACTGCCCCATCAAGAAGCCAAAGACTACAACGACAACTACCGCGGGTAACACCACCACTACGACTACTACTACCTCGACAACATCGAGCACAACTAGTACAACTAGTACAACTAGTACAACCACTACGTCTACTACGTCTACAACGTCTACTACGTCTACAACAACTACACCCCCCCCAGTCAACACAGATCCCCCAGCTTGCACACCTGCTGGTGGAGAATGCGCACTTTCAAATCCAGGCGCTTGCTGTAACCTAGCTTGCAAGAATAACCTCGATGGCGAGCCCTTCCCGTACTGCTTGTAGAGACCCCAAAAGCGTTTTAGTGGGAAGGTGGAAGTATGGTCAGCGGCAATAGAGGCTAGCTCCATTCTCTAGGAGGGAGGGGGAGGGGGGGGGGGGGGGATAGGGGTGTTGTCGGATTCGGCTGGATCTTGCGATTCATCCTTTGAAGGAAACTTGCACAAACTTGTTGTGGTGTATGCACGGTGGGGAGGTGGGAGGGGGGGGGGGGTATAATTATTTTAATATTAGCTATATAACATTTATTCTCCGTGTATATATAGTATGTACTATGCTAAAAATACATGGCAGCTATTCCTCAGTCGTACCATCGAGTGTAGCTTGCTGGATTAGAGTTTCTGCGGCCAGAAAAGGTGTGAGAGGTTACGGTACCGCAATCGACAAAGTGATATTCAGCTATCTACTTATACTTTATGGATACAGGAACACATATCCTCTCAATGCTTTGTGCAAAAACAAAGAGTACAAATTAAAACAAGTACTTTAATGTTGCAATCAGTAAGACGGCAAGCTCATTCTGGAAATAATTGAGGTTTTCGGCAACGTCCATCTATTAGAATCTTCATAAATGTCAATGTATTACGACCCCACTGAGCCAGGCCCACATTCAAAGTTAGCCCAACTTCGAGTTGATCGGTTCTGAGATGAATTCGTATCATCATCACACCGAGGGCTCAATGCAGAGCGTGTCAAAATTCAGGGTAACGTGAAACAGTGGGGAAGGGTTTATTCAATTCAGGGTAATGAAGACAGTTTTTGGATCAGCGTTTACGAAAATGTGGGGGGGGGGGCTCGAATGTAAATATATTGAGTATGTGGGGGGGGGGGGGGGTTGTGCGAAAAAGAACTCAGTTTATGCTTTTTTTTTTTTGTGAAAATGGATAAAGTGGTCGAAATAGTGGGGTGCTTTTAATGTCGCAGATGGTATTTCCGAAAATTTTATTTTCGTGTATTTCTCAAGGTTTGCAGCCAACTTCAAGGTGACGGAGGCTGCATTTTTTTTTTTCAAAAAATGCAGCCCCATTGAGAATTCAAAAGGAACGAAAATAGGGTTGACGTTGCAGAAGATTTCTCACCTTATTTACTTCAATCCTACGCTTTAAAGATACAGAATAATTAGGAGACAAATTCAGGAGGTTCCATTCGACAGGAGGAGGGGGAGGGGAGTGGGTGGCCTTCATTATTTAGATCCTATCAAGTTGATGAGAGTATCCGTTTCCAGTGGAAAACAAAACGCATTTGATTATGCATGATAATTTAAACGGCATCTAACGTCAGTTATAATTAAAAGTTGCACTCCCCTCCTTCTCCCCCGCGTCCCCCCCCCCCCCCCCCCAGATTATTCCTGCGCGCAATCCCACAGCACGCGCCGCCATCGTTCAGGGCGCATCGACCTCCATCGGGACACAGACT